TATATTATTAGATATGCTATTATAAAACATGCTTTAGTTAAGGAGTTATTAATACTTTAAGTGCAAAATGATGATATAAAACCTTGATAAAAATACACTTTTAAATACTAATCACCCGCCCTTCCTCTTCTTTGTCTCCACCTCAAGTAGCCACCGAACCATGTCATGTGATGATTGCACCACTTCTCTTTCTCCTTTGTAAAACTCTACCTCTTTGCCACAGTGACCCTAGCAGCAGCAGCAACCATCTCGCCCAAAAGCTTTTGTCCTTCCCAACAACAGCTAGGACATTAACTCTCTCCTCAGCCATTCCAACAATTTTAATCACGAGCTTCCTCTCTTCTTTGCAAGCCTCCTTTTTTTCTTCTTCCAATTGCAACTAGAGCCAACCGCCGCCTCACCACCTTCAATTGCACTGTGCACCACTAGTCAGGCCACCAGCTCTCTCAACGTCAGGTAAGCCTCCCTCTTTTGTTCTTCTTCTTCCTCCTTTCTTTGTTGTCGCTGCATGTTAGCAGTGTAGCGTGAATTATAATTCATGTTACACAACTTCGTGCAACTTAGTCACTGGGTTGTGCTAGTGACTAAGTTGCTTTGGGCTGGACCTATCTTAGCCTAGCCTAGTTGGCTAGGCTGGGCCCAGCTCGTCCACGAAATAAAAAGAAGAAATATGTTGGGTCAAGTTTGACTCAATCATTTTAGGTCAATATCAACCCACCTATTTCTGGGTCTATGCTTGGCCCCGTTATCTGGGTCGGCCCAGCCCACTTGTTTTAATAATATTTAATTAATTAATATATATGTTTATATAAAAAAACAAAAAAATTGCAAAAAAATTTCAAAAAATCCTTTCAAAAAATTTGTAATTTTCTTAAATATTTTTCTACCAATTTTGCTTAATGTTGGATTGTATACTTATATTGTAAGATACAAATGCAGTGTTAAAATACCTAATTTTCTTTGAAATATTTCCAAAAAAAATCAAAATATTAAAAAAAAATCTAAAAAATGTTTAAATTAATTTTCCCTTTTAAAAAAAATTATTTTCATGTATACGCCTAAATCCTAAAATTTTCCAAGCATATTTTTCATAAAAAAACAAAAATTGCTTCCTTTTCATGTAAAAAAAAAAAAGAATATTGTAACCAGTTTATGATTAACCATTAAGATTTGGCCAATATGTTGAAAATCTTTTCCCAAGTTTGTTTTAGAATTCAGATATAGACTTTAATATTTATATGGTATAAAATTACATGGTAAAGTACACCCTCAGGTATTAAAGATGCAGGTGTAAAAATGTAATGCTAAACTTCATATTTTAGAATGGTTAGGATTTAACTCGATGACTCTCTCATGAAGAGATATCTGCCTTGAACCTTAAAAAATGAATAGAAACCCGACATAGAAAAACAATTAAATAATAATGCAGCTTACCTTGGGTAGGGTGCAGTAAGGGTGATGCTTCTTCTCCTTGCACAACCAGCCTCTTACTCAGAATCTCGCAGATCGTAGGTTCCTAGTGACCATAATACTAGGTGGCAACTCCTAAACTTTAATTATAATTTTATGATTTGATCCAAAAAACCTTCCCAACACACTACACCTCACATAGAAGGCACGACAAAAACTTCTGCCATCTCCAAACGACATCGCGACGCTTGTAACCCCATGACACGAGATTAAAAAAATAAAGAATTGACTCAATTTGCCCCGGTAAAAAATTCAAGTCAAATCGAGAAAACACACGAGTCAAAAATCCGTTGAATTTTCTAAAAAAAACTAAAAACTTTAGGTGAGCTAAGTTGACCCTCCCAACTCATAACCTAAACCTTTTATCGGGTCGATTTTCAAATCGAATTTTAAAGTTATGATAATATTTATTTTTATTTATGTGTTTATTTAAATCAACTTGTATATACCCACTTAACTTATGAACTAAATCTTTTACTGGTTAACCTCAAGTCCGATTTAGAATATTTTATAAGATAATATTTGATTGGACAATTTACGTAAATTTTATACTTTTAAAAGTAAATACATAACCACACTTCTTCTTTTCTTTTTTGAAACAGTAACCAAATATTATATTAAATAATATCCTAATAATAATAATAATAATAATAATATTTTAAAGAATTATAAAAATCTTCTGAAAAAATAACATGTATTGGTGATCCATTTCAACCCGTTCTGTTCCATATTCTTCATCCAAGAGAAGCAAGGTAAGTCCCATGTGAATCAAATCAATAAATAAAAAACCTCCACTAGGAATAAAATTGTGGTGGTATATCTTAAAAATTAGGAATAAAAAACAGAAAAATAAATCTATGTCCTCAGTGGAGGTAGTTGTCTGTAGTTTCTTCACCTTCTTTCCATTGGACCATAGTTGGTGGCTGCTGGTTTAAAATTATTTGTACACCTCCGTATTTTTCTGCTTATGTGTTTTTCATTTTTTATCGCAGGTATAAAATATTAAACTTGCACTTCTTTGCGGTGAATATCCAGGAGGAGAAATCATACTGGATATAATTGAATAAAAAAGGTGTACGTGGGTGTGTTTGTTTTCGCAGTTAAATATGTTTTTTATTTTAAAAAACATTAAATTAATGTTTTTTATATTGATATATCTATATTAAAAATAAAAAAAAATTATAAAAAATTATTTAATAAACTTTTAATTAAAAAAATATTCTTTTGAAAACACAATTATCAAGAACACACAATGAGTGTAACTTGTCTCGCAATCCTGCTGGTTACCAAATTTAATAGATTATGCTATTTGCAACAATAAAGTAAACCACGTAGCATGCCCTCTAGAGACTTCCTGTTAGATTTGTTTAATGGTGGCAAGATCGAATTCCACGTGGAAACAAATGCGATCCAATTAAAAAAAAACACAATTTAATAGTTTTCAAATCATCCATTCATCATTATCTAATTATTTGAGATAATTTAATCTTTTAACTTTGTATTAATAAAATATTAGAATTATTTCACCTCAAAGAAAGTTTTGTTTAAAGATTCAACAAGGTTAATTTTGTAATTAATAAATTAATCACAATCAATTTAATCTTTAAATATGTTTGTGAACAATAATATAAATACATCCATACCCTTAAAAGCTAAAAGACAAACCTTTCAACCAAGTATATTTTTATTTTTTTGGGATGGCTTTTTGTAATTAAAATATGATTTAGTCTTTTTAATAATTTAAATAATAATAATAATAATAATAATAATCCACTATCTAGCTATTGGCCGCAAGCTCAAAAGAAATATCTGGCTGACATTACCCCGAAGATATTATCGGCATGTGCTGACGTGGCAACGTTCTGTTGACTCTGACACGTGTAAAAGCGTTGCCATGCCTCCCTCCTCTCTCTTTCTCAGTTTTCCTAAACAAGAAAAATTAATTCGGCCTCTTTCTCTCTTTTTCTCTGATTAAAATCCAGCGAAATTAAAGGAAAACGATTTTCACATTTACTGTCTGAGATTAAAAATAATAATAACAATAATAAGGCGTAAAAAAGAAAAAAAAACGGTTAACGGATAAATGGAGGGGAATCTCAGAGGGGAAATTCCGTTACCGGATCAGAAGAAGAAGAGTAATAGTGAGTTGACTCGGACGAACTCGGAATCATCTGGTTTGTCCGTTGACACTGCCAATGCAAGAGCGGTAACTTTACTCGATCTTAATTTATTGCTTTCTTTGGAAACGAACTTAAGGATCACGTAGAAAGCTTGTGCGTTTATCCTTGATTTGCAGCGGTTATTTGTTTTTGCAAGATATGTGAGTTTTCGCTATTTTTAATTTTTCTTATATAATTTATTATCTAATTTTTGTTAGAGTTTCATTATAAAAAACAGTCAAATTTTACGCCTGGAAGAGAAAAAGGAAATTTTTTTTTCCATGATGTCAGATTTTGGAAATTTGTTAGCGAATTAATTAATTTCCTCAACTCGTTGTTGTTGCTGCTGCTTCTGTTTAACGTGAAAATTAGTCTTAATTATTCGTAATTAGCTGATTGGTTCTTGTGTTCTATCACCTGGTGGTGAATTTTTAGTATTCTTAAAAATTTTCTTTTTTAAAGCAGGGTCAGGGTCCATCTGCTGCGTGGACAGATGAGAAACAGAGGTTGTATCTTGATTCATTAGAAGCTTCATTTGTTAATAAGCAATTGCGCCATTCCTTTAGTTTGCGTGGTTGGTTGCGAGAGATGGGAGGGAGGCCGTGTTCATCGCGACCCCAGGTTAGCGGATTTAGATCTTGGTATTTCAACTCTCGAATTCCCTTGCTTTCGGAGGTTAAATTTCCCTTTTTGGTTCTATGTGCTCCTTGGTTATGTTTCAGTTCGTGGTTCGGCGACATTGTAGATGGGAGAAGAAGAGGAATGAGCCATTGTTGGAAAGTACAGCTGACTCTCATTTTATCGAGGAGACAACTCGGTCGACAAACCGGTGGGACGCGGCACATCATGATCTTTAAGGACATGTTTCATCTTGTGGTGGGGGGATTCGTGTAAGAGAGAATGCAACTGTCTCCTGTGGATTGGCAACAAGTTCAGAACAACACTCCATGTGCTGCTTATGCTATCAGAATTCTATTGGCAGCACCATAGGTATCAATTAGTTTACAGTTTTATCTGAAATTTCTCCATGTATGTATTCTCATCCGTTAAAGATTGCCTAGTCGTACTACAAATTGATTAATTGCCTTGTTGCATAGCAGTTTTGCAAGGACCTGCATCATTATCGTGTCTCGTCCTCTGTTATATCAAACACATGGAGTCAATCAAACACGCTTGTCATGGACACGTGCAGTTGCCCATGTGAACTTATATTTTATTCTTTGGCAGATTAGGAAAACGAACTGCGAATGTTTTTGTGCTTATTAGTCACGGCTCCATGACATTCACTGCTCGCCTTGTGGACAATGTAATTGACTTTTCCGGTTTCTCATATTTTACACTGATCTTTGTCTACAACTCTGATATGGATAAACCTTCTGTCTGTTTTAATGTTTTATGTCAATGTTCAAGGAAGGGTAATCAGTTTCCCCTGCTCTTATTTTGGATCATGTGGAGCCAGAAGAAAAAATTTCAGCAGATGCAGTAGTTCTGTCTGTGTAGAGCTTAAATGGCGTGTGCTTTGATTTCTATACGCTCGATAATTTTAGATGCAAAGTGCTACTGACAGTTATGGAACAATGTCGAGTTGCTCTCACAAGTTGCAAAACCTTATAGCCTATATTGTTGAACAAAGTAGTGTTTCTCATTGCAGCGAATTATTGTTCTTGCTGAATTGTTTGGTTTCATGCAGAAGTCTCGGATCAGAACTTTGTTGAAGAACACCAAGGAGAGGAGCTGACCTGCATCCACATGTTGAAAAGGTTGAGGAGATCTGGAGCGGAGGCTTCAAGGAATGATAAGAAAATTTGATCATTGCTGTTTTGCTTGTTAAGTCGTGATTTACAAACATGTTAAAGTCTAAAGCAGAGGTCCTGGAATTCTGTGAGCATGGAGTCTCATTTTTGTCAACTCTATCTTCCCTTTTCAGGTTGTGCCATTCACAAAGTCCAGTACAAGAAATGCTTCAACTACCAGTCAGCTAAGTTCGAGAAGGTAACTTCTGATTCCAACACTTGAAAACATAGGCAAGGTCTTACCCCATTGATGAGCCTGTCATATTGAGAAAACTGCAGTGGGCAACATTTTGATGGGCTGAAAATGATCTCATGCTTATACTGGGTTGTGAAGATTCTTTTTTGCTGGGTGCGAAGATATGAAACCGGAGGGACAAATATAATCAAAAGCTAAAATTACAGGAACAAATGCGATCAGGAGTTGTAAATATAAGAGTAATAATGATCAACCCAAGATCATAGAGTATACATGAACAAAAACCCTAGCTACTGGATAAACCATCATCCATCACCAATGGAAAATGTCCTTTGAGCCCAATAATGGATTAGGAGTTAGAATGGGTATTTATAATTATCCCAGGAAATTGGCTGGGAGTAGGGTTTCGTGGGCTAGCATGCTCCAACAGACCCGTCCAGGCTTCCACCTCCCATTGGTCCTTGACATCCATGACCGTCCCCCTACCCAATATAGTGCTCAGCTAATAGTATTCAGTTTAACTAATATTTTGAGGTTAAATAATAAATATCTCTTTAATATCCCACCCACTCAATCCAAGCTAGTCCAGTTGACAATGAAATTCTGAATAAAAAATGTAAAGATTTCGACTTTCTCCAGCGGCTTTGAACAGTGACAGGGGTTGATGGAAACAACATAAGTACAAATTGCATAAAAATACGTTGAATAAAGTCATAACTAAAAATATCTTAATTTAAGATTTAAAAATGAAATATTCTTTTTATATAGCCCCTCTCTAAAAAGTTTAGAGCTATTTAAATAAACCAAAAAATCTACTCTAGATAAACTAGAAAATAAAAGGTAGTAAAAATATTAAACAAACTAGAAAAAGTAAAATTATTAAGCTAAACTAAATAAAAATATAAAAATTATCAAGGAGAGTGAATTTTTCTTAAAAATCTCTTGCATCAATCTCTTTAAATTAAAAAAAAATAACACTCAAGTTTAAATTATTCTTATTTTGATCTTGTAGAAGTATAATCAAAGCTCTTTAACCTGTTTTCTTTTCTTGTTTTGGATATATAATAATTTTTCTACGTGAGAAACATCAAATGATAAATGATTTCTTTTCCATTATTTTCTAGATTAATGAATTGTAAATCTTAAACTTGCTTTTATTCACCTAATTTTTGAATAAATATATTTTTATGATAATAGTAAACTTGTAATAAATATTTTCATGATAATAGTAAACTTGTAATAAAAAATGATCCAAATAGCCTAAATGGATCATTTTCTTTTGTTAAGTATATTCCATGTTACTTTTGTACTCAACCATTAAGTCATCAATGAGCACATCATTGGTGACTTTATCATTGTTATTAATAGCATTGATTATGTTATTATTATTATCAATGTAATATAGTAAATTAACAAAGACTATCAATTTATATTTAACAAAAAAATAACAATTTATGTCTATTTCACTATAAATAAAATCACTAAATCTCCATAACAATTATCCCGATCAAGAAATTAACTACCTTGCTCATGTATTTGGAATGAGTAATTAGAATTGATTATGGATTTATAATTATGAACCTCTAATTTTTTATATTTGTCTATGTCAGTAGAAAAGATAATTCTTCAATTTGAATATGTAATTTTATCACCACACAAGTGAATTCTATAGTTTGACTTCGTATGTAGTAACACTGATTTACATCATTCAAGTTGACTACTCTGGTATGGATTTTGTTCTTTAGTTGTTTCCCAGCATATGCACCAACACCAACATTGAGCAAAGAATCCATCACGAAGTTCTTACGAGAGGATCTCATCAAGTTGTTTAATAGAGGCTGCATGTACGGTTGAGATGGACTCAACATATAGCTATTTTGAGCTTCAATGCCGAGTGAACACTTTTTTACAGCCATATTTTTTTTAAGAGCATAATCAGAAGCACAGCTAGACACGGCTACGCCTACTCTGAATGCCAGGGTTTAGCTGAATGGAGATCTGTACGGAAATTCATACAAAAATGGATGATAAACATGAGCATGCCTACCCATGGACGTTCATATAATTTTTTTTAATAGAAGAATTCATTCTCTAAGATCACGCTTGTGGCGAATCGGGCGGAGGAGGGTCCAGGAAAGCCACATGTTTTGCTCAACAACTTTTCTGTGGCGGCGAATCGAGCTTGTCTCTTGGCTCTATTCGAAAGTTAAGCGCCCGCCCAATTCTTCGTTGCTCTAAGATGAAGGGCTCTTTGTTGTGGTGCTTGTGGAAACGTGGAGCCAAAACCAAAGGGGCAACTTCCTGTTGCGACGACTGTCTCGGTTTTCTTGGTCTTCGCCTCTGGAAAAATCAAACACCACAAACCTCTCATCATTCTAATATTGTATTGAGTAATTAAAGGCAAAGGTTTGTGCAAAACAAACATTATTGAGGCATCCCATGAACTTGGAAGGAAGAAAATTAAAATCTTACCTTCATTTGGATGGGAATAATGACCTAATTTGGATAGGAATGACTTAAGAGTTAAGGCATTACTATTAAATAATTGATAATTTGACAGCTTAGAGAAGTGAAAACCCTTAAGAACTAGAAACACTGTAATTAATATAAGTAGATATTTAAAATATTCAAATTTTATTAGTGTTTATTTATCAAAAGCTATTACAATTTTTATATAGAAAAACTAAAAAGCTTTACTAAAATTGAATAAAGAAATAAAAAAGTAATTCCATTCAAATAAAAACACTAGAAAAACCTAATAATAATAAACAAAATAAATAAAATAAAATTAACTAAAAACATATTTATTTTTCTAAAAACATTTTCTATATCAATCTTCTAGGGTTGTAAAAAAATCATCCTTAATTTTAGTCAGCAATCTTTTTTTTATGAAAATTCTATATTTATTCTACTTCATCGTGAATCTTTAATATAATATCTTTGTATGAATCATTCTATCTTCAATTGCACTATTAAAATTTTCAATAACGACCAATGTAAATAGAAATAATACACCAATTCCTTAACACCTTTCTTCTAAGAAGGGAACCTTTTCATTCATCCATACACAAATATGACTTGTTGTGTAATCTTTGTTTATTATAATTATTTAACAACTAACCATAGAGAATTATAGATTTTTGATATACATTTTTTATAACTTCTAATCATAATTATTAAGAATTATTAGGTTCTACATTAACTGATATAGATAAAAATACAAATAAAAAGATAAAAAGTAAAAAAAAAAAGATTTGAATATTAATATGATTGTAATACAAACACGTAATTAATAAAAAATATACAACTTTTTTTTTTCTTTCTAAAAGTTCATCCTCCATCGTAATTGATATTCAAAGCTCAAATTTCATCCAGGCTTAGGTATCCCATTTAACTAGAAAGAAGAAAGATTTAATAGAGTTTTGTTTTCTTTGCACAAGGCATGCAAGTTTCAGTAGTTTGGACTCGAAAATTATCCACCGCCAAATACGCCCAATCAGACGTTCATGTTAAGCATCTTAACATGATCTCCATATTTGTTTGAAAAAAATAAATCAACTATCATCTTCCCTAGTTTCGACCTCTACTAAACAAACAAATAAGATGACCCTTGGCACCTCCCAAGAGTCCCCTCCTTCAGGAAAAAAACAGCCCTCTCCCCTCCTCCTAAGGTCCCATACATCATCTACAAAATGCCCTCTCTCCTCCTTCTCACCACCATTACTTCTCTCTACAACACCAACAAAAATCCACACTTCTCTAGAAACTATCTACCATCATTATGTCATCACTTTCAGTTCGTTTTCTCACGCCACAATTGTCACCCGCACTTCCAGGCTCCTCTGCAAGACCAAGAACAAGACTCTTTGCTGGACCTCCCACAGTGACTCAGCCAGCGGAGACGGGGGTGGATGCAGGGAGGTTGGAACCTAGAGTGGAGAAGAAAGACGGATACTATGTGTTGAAAGAGAAGTTTAGGCAAGGTATTAATCCTCAAGAGAAAGTGAAGATAGAGAAAGAGCCAATGAAGCTTTTCATGGAAAATGGGATCGAGGAGCTTGCTAAATTGTCGATGGAAGAGATTGACAAAGAGAAGAGCAGTAGAGATGATATTGATGTTAGACTCAAGTGGCTCGGTCTCTTTCACAGAAGGAAGCACCAATGTAAGTTTGAGGTTGCAGGGTTATAATATATTTATGTCTACGAATTAAGATCCTTCGTTGTAAATTGTTTTTTGATGTTTGATGATCAGATGGTAGATTTATGATGAGACTAAAGCTACCAAATGGGGTAACAACAAGTGCACAAACAAGATACTTGGCAAGCGTGATCAGGAAATATGGGAAAGATGGCTGTGCAGATGTAACAACAAGACAAAACTGGCAAATTCGTGGTGTGGTGTTGCCTGATGTGCCAGAAATACTAAGGGGTCTAGCTGAAGTTGAGCTGACAAGCCTGCAGAGTGGCATGGACAACGTGAGAAACCCCGTAGGAAATCCGCTTGCAGGAATTGATACAGATGAGATTGTTGATACCAGACCTTATACCAACTTGTTGTCCCAATTTATTACTGCCAATTCTCGTGGAAATCCTGCTTTCACGAACTTGTAAGTTCTCAGTTTCCTCACTTTTTCTTTGATGTATCCGAGCTTGACATGATGAGCGAATTGCACAAGGTATTGAACTTGGTCATATTAATTTAAATGCCTTGTAGTGGCTTTAGTGAGAAGCTCGAAATCAGGAATAAACGAGGGAATTATCAGATTGTTCTCTAGCTTTCTAATAACCAAATCAATTTTCAATCTTGAGAGCTTTGCATATGAAAGTTGCAAAGAAGTTCATTAGTTATTGGATCATATCGTAATACAACAAGTAAGAAATGGGAGTAATAGCACTTGTGCTCTATAAATGGTAATAATGTTTAGTGCTTTACTGGTGGGTATTTGTCCAATCATTTGAGATGAAGTATTAAAATCCTAAATCGACAATGCTATGGCACCATCTAGGTCATTTACACGGGGAGACATTTTCTGAACCAGAGGAGATAAAATACGATATATAGATCTAGGTAGCATAAATGCAATAAATGCAATAAATGCCGAGTTGTTTTGGTAGCATAAATGCAATAAATGCCGAGTTGTTTTTAGTGACCTTAGCCTTTTCT